TCATGTCACCAATAATGTGTACAATGTCAATATTATTGTTCATGATGTCACCAATACTGTGTACAATGTCATTATCATTGTTCATCATGTCACCAATAATGTATACAATGTCATTATCATTGCTCATGATATCATCAACAATGTGTTCTAGTTTTACCATGCATGGCCACATGGAGGAAACACTATCACTATTAATGCTGACGATATCAATTATATTCAATGTCGTTATTAATGTTATGTCACCAACAATAGAGAAGCTCAATAAGGATATTTCTTTTCATTGCATTAGTTATAACAAGCCCTATTTAAAAACAAGATTGTAAATACACAGCAGAACCTGTACTGATGAATACATTGTGTTAATCATGCCTCCGAGCTACATGTACACACATCTATATATTTGTAAAAGCCAACACAAAGCACACAAAACATGCCGGGGGTCATTTCAACTCATACATGTACATGTATTGTGGTTTTAATCCCACTTAAGAAATATCAATGTGATAGTGATTTACATGTCTATGACTGAGATTGGGAAACAAATGCATCTTTTGGGAAAAGGTGACATGCTGTAACATGCAGGACCCATGTGTGTATTTACTTGAAATGAGTACATTTATACATGTACATATATGAAAGGCATCCAGTAACTACAAAAAATATACAGCATTTGTTGTAATGTACATTGCCTCTAAATAACATACTGGTTGGTAACATAAGCTGGGGAGGATGCTCATTATATAAATACTGTGATGCATACACGTATATGGTAAAAATAAGTCATATTTTTACAATTCAGCAAATAAGATATTTTTTTGTTATTCATGTGCTCTTCTTGTATAAAGCTAAAAAGGAAGGCATTTGTTTATTTCAAAATACTAGTAGTAGTACATGTAGATAAAAATGTAAACTTGCAACATTGTGTGAAATAATGCACCAGTTCATTTGGCAATTACTAAAATTTGTACTACATGTATCTACAGTAATATGAGGTTATCACCAGATATCACTTATTTGAGTCAAAGGCTAGTATTATATCCACAAAGCTCAGCATAGAAATACATACTCTCATCTGCCATGATATGAAAATGTTTTTACCCTCCTACCAGCCGGAAAATCTTTAATAGGAGGTTGGTGATCACAAAGTGGATCCTTATTGACTGGAAATATGAACTGCACAGTCAGAATGCGTTCTGAGCGGTATTCTCATGATATCCTTATTATTACACATCTTTTTCCTACTCATATTAATTTAATTATTAATGTATTATAATATTATAGCCCAAAATGGCAACAGAAACATTTCTGTGTGAATGTTTGAGTTCAGTGATGGGATTCTATTATCAGTACATGCTGCAGTGCTTCTTTGTCCAATTTACAAATTATTTGGGAAAATTCACTCAAGGCTCCTCACCCCTAACCTTAACCCTAACAATCCAGCAGCCCAACGTAATTGTATATGCCCCTTTAGATAACATTAAATGTCCTGAAGAGGAGCATATATAATTAAAATACAGGGGATATTGGTGGAGAAAAGTTAGGATTAAAGTTAGGGGGGAGGGGGCCTAAGGAACTTTTACTTGTATTTCACCCTATATACATGTAAAAGAAAATTTAAACAAGAAGCAGATAATATGAGATTATTACAAGGATACCTCAAAGTATTCATAAAGACAGTACAGCGGGAGTTCAATGCGACGGCGTACTGTGAGTGCATACTTTGTGGTATCTTCGTAATAACATTATTATGCATCTTTTCCTTCCAAGGATACATCATGGGAATACAAAATTTTGCAAAAAGTTTAGAACTGAATCAGCGAATTTTTTTATGTGGAGTTCGGTCAAACCCTGGTGGCAGCCATTTTAGTTTTTATTTTCAGAGGACGCTTACGCATTTCCTTATATGGTAGGATGAAAATACCCCGTAAAATACCACAAAAATACGGCACACTGTAACTTATGCCGTTACTGTGACAAATGTATAATAATACTTTTTACATACATTTTAACTTTCAACATTTTCCTTTACAAGGCTTCTATCTCAACACTTTCAACCACATAAATTATTATTATTATGAATGGTTATTATTATTAATTATTCGGATTAACAAAATATGAAATGATAGCTCTATCTCATGCTTTATATGGATGCCATCAAAGAGACAATGAAATAACACATTTCAATCTGTCATTCTCATCTGTACATATGGACTATTCCAATTCATGAAATACAATAAACATGGAATTATATAACTTACTGTCTGAAAATCTGGAAAACAAACACTGTGGGCTCGAAAATAATTCTTTAATTATGATCTTTATAACATTTTTTGATTAGCTACAAACTTCTTGAAATTTTTTTCTCCTCTTTCAAACCTGTGTAGGTGTTGAAAGGTTCAATCTAGTGTTCTCATCAGCAAATAAATACGTGGGGCGCAATTGTTTTATCAGTTTAGAAAGTATGAGACAATTACACATCCATGTGAAAACAAAGACAATCAAAGAAAGCTTAGAAAGAACTCCCATGTGCTGAGAGTATTGGAGACACATTAAAATTAATATGCACAGATTTGAATGTAAAATTAATGAGGTCTGCGCAATGTAACAGACCATCTATGTACCAAGTTTTATTAAATGTGATTGGAACCAAAAAAAATTACGAATTATTATGCTAATTAGGGAATTAATATAAACAGATTTTAACCCCAAACTAATCAGGTTTGTACATTGTCCTAGAGCATCTTTGTATTAAGTTTCATTGAAATGGAATAATTAGTACTTTAGATATCAGTGTGATAGCTTAAAAGTGGTTAATTATGCAAATTATTAATTAATATGTACAGATTTTAACCCACAATTATCCAGGTCTGTCTATTGTCCTACAGCATCCATGTACAAAGTTTCATTGAAATGTGATGATTAATACTTGAGAAATCAGTGTGAAAGCTGAAAATTAATTAATTATGCAAATTAGGTAATTAATATGCACAATCATTTACCCTAAAACTAATCAGGTCTCTGGATAGTCCTAAAGAATCTATGTACCACGTTTCATTGAAATGTAATGCTTACTACTTGAAACATCAAAAGCTGAAAATTAATTAATTATGCAAATTAGGTAATTAATATGCACTGATATTATCCTAAAAATTATCAGGTCTGTGCATTGTTCTATGACATCTATGTACCAAGTTTCATTGAAATGTGATGATTAGTACTTGAGATATCAGTGGATAAAACGAAAATTGACTTCTAGTAATCATTATGCAAATTAGGTAATTAGTAATTAGGCAATTCTTACAAAAAAACTGATCAAAATCTAGCATTAGTTCAGAGCATCTATGTACCAAGTTTCATCAAAATCCAATGAGTGGTTCTTTAGATATCAGTGGAACAGTCATGGAACAGCTAAAAATCAGCTAAATATTATGCAAATTAGGTAATTATTATGCATGGAATTTTACCAAAACCTAATCAAATCTGCGCATTGGCCCAGAGCATCTATGCACCAAGTTTCATTAAAAACCGATGTACGGTTCTTGAGATATCAGTGGAACAGACGGACACACATACACACACAGACACACTAACCGCAAAAACTCCCATTTTGTGCTTCGCACATGGGAGTCAAAAATGAAGTATTTTGTTCCCCTTATATTGGAGTGCAGACAGTGTTCTCAAATGTTTGTTTCAATTTTAT